TAGTTGGTAAATTGAGACAAATAGACGGATATATTAGCTGTCTGCTGTAAAAATAAACTCTGAAATAAACTCAGTGATATAATGCAATAGCATTTATTTCTCGCTTTCCAAGATCATTTCTATAGTTAATTTATGCTATAATAAAATATATATCTTACTATTAGTATCTTATGCTATATGTATCTTATACTATAATAAAAGTCATCCTAAAAATAACCAAGTTAAGATTTATTAACAAGTGATACAATTGTGCCATTGTATAAGTGCATATGTGTAACAAAACCTCTTTGTACTTATGAAAGAAAATGTAAGAGTGCTGGCAATTTGAATTTTGAAGCACAAACTCCAAATACAGACTTGATGAATGATCCCAGTGCAATACATTTGATTTAAAAAAAGCAAGTGAAAAGATTATTTAAAGGAGAGTGAATGTGATTATTATAAAAAAGTAAGTTTTCTATGTATAGCCTTTTTAGTATTACAGCTTTGATTCTAAAAGAAGCAGTCTTTTATTCAAAATAAGAGGATTTAAAAAGTACATTTAGTCAGCTAATTTATAATCCATACTGGGAGTTCTTAAAATATTATACAATGATTATTTTCAACATTTAATGAACCACTTTAGGAGCAAGTTAAATTTCCAGGCATGCTATTATAGTGCAATCATGTCATTCCCCTTCTCAAAATATTTAGTCCTACTTTATTGCATAATTTATAGGAATCAACTTTACTTAATATGCTGATATTTAAATTCTCCATAAAAATCACTTGAATGTATCTTTTTCTCTTTATCAGTTACAACTTCCTAACTTGTAACTGATGTTTTAGCTAATTTCAACATCTCAGTGTTCCCCACACCACCCTCAACTTCTTTCTATCCCCTATATTTTATCTGTAGTTGTTCCCTTGAGAAAAAAAAAAAAAAGAAAGAAAGAAAAACATGAATTCCTATAGCATCTCAAAAATTATGTTCCAGCCTTGTAACTATTTATTACTTGGAGCTTCTGGGTCATCACCCATGTTTTATTATGTGAAGCCTCATTAAACAGAGGCAAGTCAAGGCCTCCCCTGGGAGCCATGGCTTATTTGAGAGAGACTTCTCACTAAAAAGAGATGATTTGCTTAACTCTACAACACATGTCCCTACTCATCAAGAGGGCAATAGTATCAAAGTATCCCCAGCTTCCTAAATACAGATAGATTTCTCACTATCGTGTCTATTTTTCCCCAATGAATCCAATTAATTTCACTGACATCAGAAATTTGAGGGGTGACTAGTCCTTTCTGAAGTCTAAGGCTTCTTAATTAGGTTTTGCAGTAAATTCAGTGTCTACATTCTTAATCCTTATAGAATTGATGTACAAATTTGTTTCACAAAATTTTTTGGCATAGCTTCTCACAAACAATTCTCAGTTGTAAACACATGTATAGAAATATATTGTCCCTTTCCTTAGTATATGTTCCAAGTTTTGATATACACGTATTTACGTATCTATAATGTCTATGATTTCCTAAATATATTTCATCATGGTTTCCTCTATCATCATACCTAATTCAGGCAAGTTATGTTTTAGTCCCACACTGGCCATTATGCTAAATGTGGCCACCTTGCTATTTTCCAAAAGAAATTATTAATTATTGTTTTAAAGATGTATCTTTCATACCCGTAATGAAGCACTATGGAAAAGGCACGTTTTAACTACTCAAGATTCTTCATTTTCATCTACCTGCCATGCTCTGTGTCCCTTTCAAAAACCTTCAGTCCTGCCATATAATCTTCTCTACCCCAGCCACTACCCCCAAGAAGTTCACCCCAGTCTCCTCGGGTGGCATCTTCCTTTCCAGTGAGCAGCTCTGCTAAGTTACTTCCCTTTATCATTTCTTCAAGGACTCCAGTTATCAGCATTTTATGCATCTTCTTATATTTTTCCTAATGCCTCTTTAAGAACAGAGACATAGAAGTTAGATTGTCAAGGCTTAAATCTCATAAGCTGAGAAATCTGAAAAAAGTACTTAACTTCTCTGCTTCTCAGTTTCCCCATCTGTGAAATATAGATAATAATAATACCTACTTCAGAGGATGAGTGTAGGGATTAAGATATTTAATGTATGTAAAGCACTCGGAACTGTGACTAGTTAATAGTTGGGGTTATGTAAGGGCCAGTTGTAATTATTATTGGGACTATTATTATTGTATCACTTCTTGAATACTAGCAGTGTATTCTGCTATAGTTCAATTATACCCACCTCTACTACCTTCAATACAGCTCTCACAGAGACTTACTTCCATTACATAGTTAATAAAAATATATGTAACTAATATATCAAGTGGATGGGAAGCCTCAGCTTGGAAGCCACATCACTCAAGCAACACATCAGAAATTGTTTAAATGGATGACTCCAATAAGCTAAAAAGATTGAGAACACTTTAGCAGTCAGAATTCCTTTTTGGAAAGAAAAATTGATTTTGTTAGGAAAATAAATTAGTGAGTGCTTGTAGTAGAAAATAAGACCTCAAGGATTGGAGGAGGTAAGGACTGTCAGACATAGAATGTACTACATTTGAACAGAGAAAGATTTCTTCTAGCTGAAGCAGGGGAAAGAGACAGGACAGGGTTGTGGGTGTTGACACAGGGTCAGTGGGCTTGCACTCAGCCGTCTTAGTCTTCCTTTCCACCTCCACTACAAAATTCTAAAAGCTCAATCCCCTTTCTCCCCATCCTCCTACACACACAGCTTTGTACAGTGTTGAAAATAAATACTCGGTGCCACAAAGAAAAATGAGCACTCAGACTAAGGATTTTTCAGCAACACAATTTTTACTTCCTGGGCTGCAGAAGGGTACTCCCACTAGTCATTGTGCCATGATAGTACAATGAACAAAGGAAAACACACAAATTTATCCCTTATGCATTTGGGGTTGTCCTTACTGCTGTGTTTGATCTCCATTGACTGGAGCCAGCCCTCACAATTTAAGCTAAAACCTCATTGGCTAATAACTTAAAAGTTTTTTAAACAGGTAAAAGCAATGGAGAAATGGGACATGCCTGTGAGCATGTCCAGCACAGATATCTTGGTTAAAGCACAAGGACAAAGAATGTACTACATGCCTGTATGCATGGCATTTCTAACAGCTACACAGGGTAGGGCTTAACAAAGTTATTAGCACACTTATTTTTTTAACAAGAAAGGAAACTTTAAAAAGGAACTGTTTTACTTCCCACACCAGTGTACGTCCATGCTCCTTTATCCCATAAAATGTGAAAAGCCTGGGCTTCCTGTGAAGACCTAACAAGAATGGATCAATAAAAAAGCACCAAGACAGAGCTAGAGAGAACCAGGAGTGCATAAGCTGCCAGAACTAAGAAAATTATGGAGAAGCTCTGGACTTTTCCCAATCAACAAAATTACCAGATCCAAGTGAAGCAATCTAAATTGCAAAGGGAAGGATATGTAGGTGATATTGGCCTTTAAGAATGTTTATTGATTCTGGGCCACTTCTTTCTGAAAAAGCAAAGAAGAAAAAAAAGATAAAATAAGAAAAAAAAAAGAACGTTTATTAAAAAAGATTATATGTTATTTTTCTTAATGAGTAATACTAATCCTGGTACAGTGAATCTCTATGAATTCCCTCCCTATCAACTCTTTTTTGTTTTTTAATTGGAGATACGGTCTCATTCTGCCACCCAGGCTGCCCATATTTTCTTCTGGGTGCTGCTCATGGTGAGTTTTATGGGCATAATGACATCAGTACACTGTGGATATGTTCTCTGACTTCTGAGACACTCAAGCTATCTCGGATTCTAAGGGTCTTTCTTCAAACTTTCTGGAAACAAATTTATGAAGATCTCTCTTCTTGATGAACACTATCATTATTATTATTATCATTTTGAGACAGAGTCTCACTCTGTTGCCCAGGCTGGAGTGCAGTGGTGTGATCTCGGCTCACTGTAACCTCCTCCTCCAGGGTTCAAGTGATTCTCCAGCCTCAGCCTCCCGAGTAGCTGGGATTACAGGTGACTGCCACCACACCTGGATAATTTTTTGTATTTTTAGTAGATATGGAATTTCACCATGTTGGCCAAGCTGGTCTTGAACTCCTGACCTTGTGATCTGCCCACCTCAACCTCCCAAAGCTTGTTTTCTTTTTCTTGTTTTGAAAGTTTTTATTTGATTTGGTATTTTAATCATGGGCTGGGAAAAAATTCATTTTTTCACATACAAAAAGCAAAGAAAAACTCAAAAACAGCAAATCACACCAGGATTTTAGAAAAGAACGTTACTGAGGACAGTGCTTCAGATTTGAAAGCCATGAAGTTTCTCCCTTTTAAATGTTCGGAAACTTCAAAGATTAGGAAACCAGAGAGCAAAAAAGGTCAGTCATGGAAGGCTGAGTTTTCCCAACCTGGGTTCCAATCTCTCCCCAGTTAGTGTCAGTGATGGCTCTTCTGGGCATCCAAATGATGAGAAATGAGCTTCTGTTCGTCTGGTACAGAAAATGTGTATGTCTTCTCATACCTCCAGCATCACCACGTTTCTCCTTCAGCAGGTTCCAAGCTTCATGTTACATATTGTAACATTAATGAAATATGACTCACTCACTGACCCAAAGAACCCTGTTTGTGCCTTCGTCTACAAAGTGAGGTGACTATGTAAATAATTCAAAATCAAACTAATCCCATACTTCCCTCATTTTTTACAGTCTATGTTCAACAGATATCTGTTTATTTGTAGAGACTACATCTTAATATGATCTTATGCTCAAGGGCCGAGAACCGTGCCATCTAAAAAGTCAAAATGTGAAAACACACACCACAACTCCTAAAATAGTTCAAAGAAATGAGAAGCTAATGCTGATTTAAAAGTAGACAGAATAAAAGTTTTGGCCAAGTAGGAGCCATTCATAGTAACTTCACTCTAACAAGAATCTATACAGTACTCCCATCATAAGTCATGGAGGGAGACTCTAAAGAGAACTTGGACCTTGGTCTGCTGGTTAATCGTCTACTTACATTGGTGAATTTGCCCAAGTCACAAATTGGTCTAGCTGCTGCTTGCGTGTCTTTGCATGGCACCCTCACACCAACAAGTTTCCAGTGGCCCTACTAGATGATTCAGTCCGTGTGTATAATGCCAGCAGCACCATAGTCCCCTCCCTGAAGCACCGGCTGCAACAAAATGTGGCAGCTCTGGCCTGGAAGCCCCTCAGTGCCTCTGTCTTGGCTCTGGTCTGCCAGAGCTGCATTCTCATCTGGACCCTGGACCCTACCTCCTTGTCTACCCGACCCTCTTCTGGCTGTGCCCAAGTGCTGTCTCACCCTGGGCACACACCTGTCACCAGCTTGGCCTGGGCCCCCAGTCGGGGGCGGCTGCTCTCAGCTTCACCCGTAGATGCTGCTATCCAGGTATGGGATGTCTCAACAGAGACCTGTGTTCCCCTTCCCTGGTTTAGAGGAGGTGGGGTGACTAACCTGCTCTGGTCCCCAGATGGCAGCAAAGTCCTGGCTACCACTCCTTCAGCTGTCTTTCGAGTCTGGCTGGCCCAGATGTGGACTTGCGAGAGGTCGCCTACTCTATCAGGGCGCTGTCAGACTGGCTGCTGGAGCCCAGATGGCAACCGATTGCTGTTCACTGTGTTGGGAGAGCCACTGATTTACTCCCTGTCTTTTCCAGAACGTTGTGGTGAGGGAAAGGCCCGTGTTGGAGGTGCGAAGTCAGCAACAATTGTGGCAAATCTCTCCAAGACAACAATCCAGACACCAGATGGTGAGGAGAGGCTTGGGGAAGAGGCTCACTCCATGGTCTGGGACCCCAGTGGGGAGCGTTTGGCTGTGCTCATGAAAGGAAGCCCAAGGGTACAGGGTGGTAAACCAGTCATCCTCCTCTTATGTACTCGAAACAGCCCTGTGTTTGAGCTCCTTCCCTGTGGCGTTATCCAGCGGGAGCCAGGAGCCCAGCCCCAGCTCATCGCTTTCCATCCTTCCTTCAACAAAGGGGCCCTGCTCAGTGTGGGCTGGTCCACAGGCCAAATTGCCCACATCCCACTGTACTTCGTCAATGCCCAGTTTCCATGTTTCAGCCCAGTGCTTGGCTGGGCCCAAGAACCCCCTGCTGGGGGTGGAGGCTCTATTCGTGACCTGCCCCTCTTTACTGAGACAGCCCCAACCTCTGCTCCTTGGGATCCTCTCCCAGGGCCACTACCTGTTCTGCCCCACTCCCCACATTCCCACCTCTAATAAAAGCTTTCCTTTTGTTTTAAAAAACAAACAAACAAACAAACAAACAAAAACAAAAAAGCAAAACAGGTGTGAGCCACTGCACCCAGCCATTCTTGAGTAAAATTATAAACTGCTGAAATCAAGAGCTCTCAGTGAGATGTGTCTGGTCTATAAAACAAATGATTCACACTGACATAGAGCAAGCCAATGTCCTGAAAGAAACAGAGAAAAGGGGACAGAAAAGTTATGGTGGCCTGAAGGCCCTAGCCTATCTCCTCTTAGTCCTTGATCTAGCATTTTTCTGCCGTTTTCAAATCTTAGTTCTCAACTCTCTTGATTCTAATTCATACAGATATTTCAACTGTGAGACAACTACATCCAATTGAATTTCTACTTCTTGCTTAAAATATTAAAAACCCATATATTCAGGTAATCTCTGCCAAGCAATTGTTAAACTATTATTTAGAAACATTTAAAGTATTTCACTCTAAAATTGCAGATGTTGCTTATTTTCATAATCTTTATAAATAAGTCTTTTAATAAGTAGATATTTCAAAAAAAAATTGCATGAATTAACAAAAGAACAGGATCAGGATTCTGTTATAAAACATGCCAATCTCTAATAAAAATGTAAATATTTGTTCATTTAATAGTTCCAACAAAAAAACAGGATATTTTATATACTGGCTTCTCCCAACGCATGTTTTATAAAATACACTATTAAAACACGTTGTATAACGTTTAAATACACTATTAGAAGATGCGTGTATAATAGCATTTGTGTATATATATATATATATATATATTATACTGGAGGTTTTTTCAGTATCTTCGATATGCTAATGAAAACCTGAACCTTCAAGATGAGCCTATTGATCACAGTGTTTTCCCAAACTTACTATAACATTTCTTTTTCTTTTATCAGATTAGATTATTTTGGGACTAGAGTTGAAACGTGCTAATATACATAGTTAAAATATATATTTGTACAAGAAAATAATATAACAAAGTGGAAGAACATACATCAAAGGTGCATACATTGAGAGGCATTTAGAAGTCTATAAAACTCAAACTTTCCTAAGTCTCAAATGGCCTAACCTGAAATTATAAGGTTATAATTTTAAAATTATAAGGTTATAATCATAAGCACAACCAATCCTATATTTCTTGAGTAACTGCTAAGTGTTAGGCACTGAAAATTTTTACAAACTACTTTATTTGATAATTTAGTCACTAAAACTAACTGTTAGGTGGGCATGCTTGTCCCCATTTTACTGGGGAGAGAACCTATCCAAAGCTGACTATATCCTTATAGTCAAAGAGTTTGGATTCTAGCCTTGTTAGCCAAATAAAGAATTCAAAATGCAGATAACAGTTACACCTCAAGATGTCTTAATTACAGTTAATTTAGATTTTTTGTTTGTTTTCAAAAAGAAAGTATATTTGAAACAATTTTCTTTAGGTATTACTCCAACATTGTACAGTTTTTGTCCACACAGCTAATGGTATGGTGTGGCTGTGTTCCCACTAAAATTTCATCTTGAATTATAGTTCCCACAATCCCCACCTGTCATGGAAGGGACCCAGTGGGAGGTAAGTGAATCACAGGAATGGCTATTTCCATGCTGTTCTCATGATCGTGAGTGAGTTCTCACAAGATCTGATGGCTTTATAAAGAGCTTACCCCCGACTTCAATCTGCACTATTCCTTGCTGCCCTTATGTGAATAGGGATGTGTTTGCTTCCTTTTGTGCTGTGATTTTAAGTTTTCTGAGGACTCTCCGGCCCTGCAGAACTGTGAGTTAATTAAGCTTCTTACCTTTATAAATTACCTGGTCTCAGGTATGTCTTTATTAGCAGTGTGAGAATGGATTAATATAGTAAATTGGTACTGGTAGAGTGGAGTATTGCTATAAAGATAACTGAAAATATGGAAGCAACTTTGGAACTGGATAACAAGCAGAGACTGGAACAGTTTGGAGGGCTCAGAAGTTTGGAATGGATGTATTCACCCAATGCCTGTACCCCCATTGTATCTAGGAAGTGACTAACTTGCTTTGATTATACAGGTTCATAGACAAAAGGGATTTGCCTTGTCTCAGATGAGACTTTGGACTTGGACTTTTGAGTTAATGCCAGAATGAGTTAAGACTTCGGGGAATTGATTGAGGGTTTGATTGTGTTTTGAAATGTGAGGACATGAGATCTGGGAGGGGTCAGAGTTGGATTGATATGATTTGGCTGTGTCCCCACTCAAATCAAATCAAATCTCACCTTGAATTGTAGTCCCCATAGTACCCATGTGTAATGGGAGGGACCCAGTGGGAGATAGTTGAATCATGAGAGCCCTTTGCCTCCATGTGCCTCCATGCTGTTCTCATGATAGTGAGTGAGTTCTCACAAGATTTGATGGTTTTATAAGGGGCTTTCCCCCTTTTGGCTTGGTACTTCTTGCTGCCACCATGTGAAGAAGGATGTGTTTGCATGAATTGAACCTCTTACCTTTATAAATTACTCAGTCTCAGGTATGTTTTTATTAGCATGAGAACAGACTAATAGAGCTACCTTTACTAAATTCACTTGTAAACGAACTCTCATGTAAATACTATGGACTTCCATTCATGAAGGAAAATGACTGACAGACACTTACTCTTCTACTGTAAACAAAAAAAAAACTGAACCAAATAAAAAAAAAAAAAAAAAAAAAAAAAAAAAAAAAAAAAAAAAAAAAAAAAAAAAAAAAAAAAAAAAAACATCCAGACTCCCTTGAACTTAAAGAAACAAATGAAATGAGCAGCACTTTCACCCTGGCCACCTTCCTAGGAATATTTTCCAACCTGGCTTAGGAAGGTGGAGCTCAAGCAGCAAGCTGCAGCCTTATTGAGCTGAGGAGGAAGAAAACAGAATGTATTGTTTATTTTAGAATTTTTTATTTGTTCACTCATATTTTCCATAGAGTATATTTATGGGAGAAGTGCATACTGGTTTCTGTAAGAGAGTATCTTGAAGGCAACATCTTTTCAAAAGCAGGATTATCAAAAAGGAAGGAACAAATTGACTCATTAAAAGAAACTAGAATGAAAGCAAATGCAAGATTTAGAATTGAAGTATGAGTTTAGCGTATGCCATTCTCTGTCCTCTTGTCTCCCCTGTGAACCATGAAAAAAAAAAGTACAGTGCAGGCAATGAGCAAGTCATTGCAGTTACCAGAGATGGAACATTTATTAGGACAATGAGTGTGGTAGAAAGTCTTAGGTAAGTTGGTGATTGATTACGTCTTTCTAATTTAGAATTTTCTTAGTGCCACATCCAACAACAAAGTTAGTTGAGGCACAAAGAAAATGAAAGAATGTGACTGGTGTATCAGAGAGAAGGTAAAGAAAGACACATGTATTAGAAAAGCACAGAGCTTTGCCTAAAAAACAAACAAAAACAAACAAAAAAACAAAAACAGGTGCTAGGAGGCCTGGGTTCAGAATGAGGACACACTTATCTATTTGAGACCTAGTTAGAAGACGTGCCAAAGATGCCCTTTTCTGACTTCATGATTTCTTGAGGTTAACTTCACTAAAGATAGTAAAAATCAATGGGAGAAAGGTGAAGACGTTGAAGTCACAAATAAGTCATTACAAATCTTTTTACCTTCCTCCACTTCACAGGGGGATTTCCCTGGCTGTACGGTGATTACAGCAGGACTTTGTCTACAGAAAGTAGTGATAAATGCTCTTTGAGTTGAATGCAACTAAATTGAATGAATGTGAGTTGAATTGATTTGAATCAAATTAAATGAACGGAAAGTACAAGAGAAACAATTTTAATTTAGATAATTTGACAAAGAGTCTAGAAAATTACCTAGTCTAATAGCCTCTGATGAGAGCGAAGATTACAACACATTTTTAAATGAAATTCAAGAGCATGCACACCTAATTCGTAGCACAAACAAGATCAAGTTCTAGTTTTTGAAGTTTTTGCCAAATCTTACCTTCACTATGCCACACTATATAAGAACTTTGTGACCTACAAATATAGCTAATAATAATAATAATAAAGCCTGAATGAAGAGGAAAATAATTTTTACATCTATAACTAAGGATTGCTGAGATATGATGGATGAAGAATAGATGTGAAGACTAAAAGCCACAATTCTATAATATGGCTTTAACTTTCAAAGTGGAAGCGATTTAGACAGTCTAGTGAGATATGCTTTTATATTCTGAGAAAAATTATGTTGATGCTATGAATGAAGATATAGATGTGTTAAAATAGAATGAATTAGATAATGAACTCATTGTCATCTATTGAATTATCATAATTTCTATTACTAGTGTCAAATTTTTACACAATGAACTCTGATGAAATCAGCCATAATAAGTTAACCAAATTCATCATCTTCACAAGTGAGGTTCAATACTGGCTGCCTGAAAATCAATCAAGATAATGTAAAAAACAAAACTGAATGTGAAAATATTGGTTTGTGATAATAGGCAACATCCAAAATTTGCATTGGCACAGATTAAATGGGCTTAATGGTTTGAGAGGAGATTATGAATTTAAAAATTAATTTGTCTTTCTACTACTCCAGTTTGATGCCTTAGAAACATTTTATAAAAGTCTTTTGATTTTATAACTCACAAATGGCCTATTTATATTTGAATATTTCTCTGAGATGATATCAAATTTTAAAACATTTCTTGTAACAATTGGGTGGATATTTCTTAATGCAGATATTACATGTAAGGAATATTTGTATGGGAGATTTAATAAAGACAGTATTTGCAAAAAGTAATCACTTGTCAGACTTCAGTGATTCCTAATCTGGCCACAGTGGGGCAGCACTTTACAGGAAAATTAAAACCATATCCTAAATAAAATTCTACATGCAGTGCAAGGCATAACACACTGTTCTATATGATGTGGTCATTACAGTTTATGTCAGGTGGGGAGAGGGAGGGTTAAACACCTAGGTGTAATTGACATAAAAAAATGATTAAAGCAACATATTGCCCTCATAATTGGAGTTTAAAAAAAATAACAACAGG